AAACCAAAGACCATGGGTTATTCTTGCCAATATCAACAAAGTCCTAAGGCCCTCCTCTTATTTTTTTGGAATAGTTTTCTCTAGGACAAGGAACTGGAGAGTGAAAAGCCTCAATCATTATGTTGTTTTGTTGTGTTTTTTTTCCCCTTTTCCTGACTCATACAGTGAATTGATGGTAAATATTGGGCAAGTGGTTTGACCACTTTGTTCCTCAATTTCCTCATTAGCAATACTCTTTTGTTTATAAGGCATTTTGAAACATTAGCACAAGAGATGTGCAAAATGTTCCTATTTTAACATTGACTGAACTGGAATTTTTCATAATTGGTTGAAACTGGTAAAATTGTTTTCAGAGGTCATCATTGCTTTTCCTGTAATTAGCCTGTGTGTCTCGGGCTCATTCCATGGAAGCAGTGAAACAATTGCTGGAAAGGACTGATGCTGCTCAGTGAGTTAAGTTGACTGGGTGGCTTCAAATGCCATTCTATTTCCTACCTCAATGAGCATAAGTGCTATGTTATCTATCAGCAAGAGGCCCCAGAAGGAACACCTGCTTGTAGCTACTAACACTGGTCACTATGCAGGCTTGAACTTCCGCTCCTGGTTAAGCATTCACTGTCCAAGTGTTGCTTTCTCTAGTCTAGCCACACACTAGAGAAGGTTCCAGAGCATTGTCATCTTGGATTACAGGAAAACTCATAGTATATTTGGCCTGGGAGTGTGGGAAGATGAGTAGGAAAAAATAATCACTCCAACAGCTGTTGGTTCTCCTCCTACTTCAGCATTTTTCCGAGTCCAAGCATTATTCCAAGTCCAACATAGATACCCAAGAGAGTTGGTCTAGCCTGGGACAACCCTATGGGGAGAGTTGAAAAGGTTTGAGGGCACCATGGTCCTACTATAGTTGGTCCTAAATTGTCCTTATTCCAGAAGTCCTAATTTAAGGCTGAACTAAAAGTTCAATTACATTCTAGGTTAACTCTCGAATAAAACTAAACTCCTACAACTACTCTCAATCCAAAACCTTTTATTGGCTCCAGAAATCCCCGTTGTCCTCATGTGAAGCTGGTCTAGTGATGACTCACTGAACCATTTTCCCCAGGGCCACTCCAAACCATCAATTCATTAATTCCATAAACACTTAAGATTCTACGTATGATAAGTCTTACGAAAGATATGAATCTATGTAAGACAAGCACCTCTCCCTCCAAGTAGTTTACAGTGTAGTAGGTGTTGTGCAACCTAACATTCCACTCTCAAAAGTAGAATCCAAACACCATTTTAGCTTCTGAGAGTAAAAGGATAGTAGAAACGGGCATTCATCTAGCAACTTTAAACTAGGAACTGCTGGATTTTCCCTGAGAGTCTAGAAGTATCGGGTCTATTCTCGGCTGGGTCACTGACTGGGCCACTGGGATCTTGGGAAAATCATTTAATCTCTTTGTACAGTTTTCTTCCCTATGATATGTTTTCTCCCTCCTTAAAATATATTTCTCGAAGTTGCTGTTAAAGCTATTTAGAAGTGCTATGTGACACAAATGATTTCGATAATATAATGACCAAGATCTAATTCAGGTGGTTATGGTAACCTTCTATCATGATTTAGTAATTGCAGTTACATTTTAGGCTTCAAATGACTTAACAAGAGTTATTTAGAAAGACCTCTAAAAATCACAAAATACTAGATTTGAAAGGGACCTGAGAATTCATTTAATCCAATCCTGTCATTTTACATACAAGGAAATTGAGATTCAGAATGTTATACTGACTTGACAAAGAATACAAGCAGAACTTGGAGTTGAACCTAGGTCTTCTAGTTCCAAGGACAACATTGCTGCCACTCTACAGTAAGCAGTACCTTGGTGTCCTTTGATTGCTAACTTCACGGAACAAAAGATAGCCTGACTGAAGCAAACAAACCCCTTTATTAAGATAAGATTTGTTCTGTGAAGTTTGGATTCAGTCAAAGAGTCGCACTTGAGGACCTAGAGGGCCACATGTGGCCTCGAGGCCACAGGTTCCCCACCCCTAGGACCATTCCCTGTCTGTATCTAAGACTAGACCCACCCATCAAAGGAAGATGGATAAATCTTTTGTAGAGAGAAACAGGGACAGACACCATATGCTTCCTGAGTTGCTGGATGTGAGAAAGTATGGAAAACTGCATAGAATTCATTTCTTTTTCCCAGAAATCTCTACAAATAATGGAAAGATTCTTTGCCCCCAAGTGCCCTCATTAAAAAAAGTGGCTCTATTAAATCACATTCACCACCATTATCACTTTGCAAGTTTTTTTTTTCTTTATCATGTTTGCTGCCTTGAGAATTCATTCTATTAGAAAATTGAATATTTTTCCAAATGTTTCTGAGAAGGAAATCTGAAACTTCCTGCCATAAGTAGTACAGCAGGTACAATTAATTCTTTATGAATTTATACTCACAACCTTTTGTCTCTCTCAGTTATATGGGTATACTACTAACTCTTTTAGAGCTTAATTGCTATATATGTGATCTCCAGTCAAGTAGAAAATAATTCAATGTTAAGATTCTGGGAAGAGAGTTGATTTAAAGCAGTACATTTAGAGTGCAATGAAAGATAGCCTGATTTAAGCAAAGAAGATTAACTGAGGATGATTGTTCACTTTAACAGCAATTCTGTGTTTTACAAAAGGACTCACTTTGCAAATATGAAATATATGTGTAAATGTGAAATAATAATGAATTCACCTGGTAAGATTAAATATACAAAAACTCAATTAACTGGTCATAAGAATGGAAGACTGCCCTTTCAAAATACTGCCCAACTATGCAATGAACTAGAACATCTGGAAATAAAGCAACATGTCAAGAAAGGGAGAAAAAAAATAACAATTTATGACCTTATTTCCTCATCATTAAAACAAGATATTTGGATAGATTTTGGATAGAATTTGGATAGATTTGGATAGGTGTCTTTATGACACTTCATACCTCTAAGATGCTATGATTTTAAGAGAGCTACATATTCAGATAAAACTTTTTTCTTCCAAATGAAGAATGAAATGAAATTTGAATGAAAATCAAAAAGCCTGAATTAGGAGAATTATTGAATTAGGATAATCAAAATTGAGGTGAAAATTATCATCAAAAAATCTTTACTATGGATCAAAATGGATTTTAAGCTTTTCCTGAATATCTCTTTCAGGAATAACAGGGCAAGGAAAATAAAAAGCCAAAATATTAACCAGAAGATCAGTTTTTAGGTTGTGTGTGGTAAAAGGTAAGGTACAAAAGAATAGTCATGTAGCATATAATTCAGAAGTCAGCTATATTATGTAAAAAAAATCTAGAAACACTGCTTAATACTAAAATAAAAAGTATTTTCTTATGTAGGCCAACATTTAGGGAAAATATTAAGTGACTCAGGTCAGTATTTGCTCTGGGTGTCCTGAAACCGAAATTCTTAAAATAATGCAGGAATCCCTAGGCATTTATGGGACATAGAGAAGCTCACCCTTAACACCACCCACAAGAGACTTCTAAGAACTGGATTAACTATATTAAAAACAAAGAAGGAAAGGTTGAGGGAGTGGATCCAAGGGATAGAAGTCCACATGAGCATAGAAGCTTGGTCAATGAAAGTGCTTAACTTTTTCTTTCCTTTATTCATTCTCTTTCTCCCTAATTGCTTCCTGCCCCCCCAAACTCCTTTTAATTAAGAAGAGTGGTAGATTTGATTAAAGCAATTAAGAACCCTAGATGTTTGAATGCAATAGGATTTACCTTCCCAATGAGTACCTGCTTTCTTTGAAAGGTGCCTGGTTAATAGAAGAACCTCTAGTGGGTAGAAAAATATGGGGAAGATATTTTTGAGGGGATATTCCTGGCCTACACTAGGTTGCTTCCTAGTCCTCCTCCACAAACTATTCTGCTAGGGAGCGAAATGTATGGAGTCCTCATTGTTTAGTAACTCACAGAGGCACCCCAATAACCCCCCTTCTCTCTTAGTTGTTCTGTGTCCCAAAGAATTCAATAAAAAGGTCAGTACTGGTGGGAAATGAGGATAAAAAGTATAGATTGGCACAGGAATTCAGAGAATCTCTTGCCATATTAAGTAAAGAAGAGGTTTAGTTCTTTTTAGAGCCCTTACTATAAGCTCTTCATTGGTGGCAGCATGATGAATAAGATAGTATGTGTATATTTATTTCATTTCACATATATGTAAATGATGTATAAGATAAATTTAAACATAAATGCCCAGGGACAATACTTGATTGTAAATATTATTCTTAAACTAAAGTGTTTCACATTCAAAACAGAATACTGCTTATTTGATGTCAAAAGTTCAGATCTCTTTCCTGATAAGATTGTACTGGCCTCATACCATGTTTTTATTGTGATTCAGGTGCAAATAACAGGAAGACATATTTTATTCCTATCTTGGGGGGGGAAAGGAAGCATTTGTAAAAGGGAATAGTTTATAAAGGGATTGGAAGCCATTCTTGCTCACCGTGAACCAGGGGACAATGTGAAGGCACAAGATTCAGGTTTAGATGACCTCCTCGAGGTAGACTGGGAAATTCCTGATGATTCCAGTCCAATAGGCAGAGTTTCCTAGGCTAAAGAGTCCTTCCTTGATCCTAGAACAAAATGCAGAGCTGTGAGTTACTGTAACAGACCACAGATGGGTGTCCTGGTCCTAGGTGGAAGATTATAATATTTTTGTCAAGAAATTATCAACACCAAATAGAGGTCCTTTTAAATTATAGATTTCACATGTTGTTTAGAGAACAAGACAAGGTGCATTCTATAACAGATTTGATACTTTGAAATATAACAGATATATTTAATTCTGATTAGCTTATAGTCATATAGAATCTTTTTTTCTCAAAAGCAAGGAGATAGTGGAATTAGTCATGAAACCATATATAATTTGAAAAAGTATATGACAAATCCATGGTTGATTTAATTTGAAGCTTTATAGACTGATACTTATGTCTTTTTAAAATTCTATTTTTGCAGGGCTCATACTTGTTTTAATCGTCTGGACCTTCCCCCCTATCCATCATTCTCCATGCTTTATGAAAAACTTTTGACAGCTGTTGAAGAAACAAGTACTTTTGGACTTGAATGATCTGGCAACCATAGTGCCCAGCCCTTTGTGGATGGGACTCCATGGAACTTGCCCTCTTGAAGAATGAGTGAACCTCGGTTTGGGAGTTCCTAGAGAATGGTTACTTTATAGTGTGTCTGGGGACTGAGATTCCAAGAACAAATGCTCAGTAATTTCTGGGGCATATAGGACCGTGGTGACAGAGTCTTCTTGGAAGGATCTGGATAGGCCTGATGTGCAGGGAAAACCCAACAGTCTTTCAATCAACAGTTCTTCCTGACTGCCAAACTTTTTTTCTTTCCATTCATTATGTTCCAAGAACAAGATGAGACTGTACAGGATCAACTACATGGTAATTATAAGGACTTATCAGGATCCTGAAACTAGTCCTTGGACTTATTCAAGCCAAACTGTGGCATCACTTGACCCAACCTCCAAATTAGCTAAAGTTAAAGATATAATAAAGAAAAATCTTTCCTGAAAGTACATTAATTTGTGCCCACTGTTATGATAGAACAACCCTTTCCTGCTGCACCCACGACTGAGCACCTGCATGGTGTGCACCATACATTTCGACTTTTAGAGGGTTGCCATGAATGGGAATCTGAGTCACAGGCTGGAAACTAAAATGGGCTGCCATAAAGCTGATTGGTGAAAATGCATATTCAGGTGGGATGTGTCTAAGTAAGGGTGGCTACAGATGAGTGGTTATACCATGGATTACTAATGAATTACAGATTTTATGCTTTATAATGCATGGAAACCATTTTTAAAATAGCAATTTATCACATCCATATCACGAAAAAATACACAGTGACTTCTGTTTATTTTTGTAGACTCATTATGTTTGTGTTCTTCAAATTGTGAATAAGAACCTTGATTATTTTGTCTCATCTCTTCCATTTCCATGCATTGTTTTAGTGTGTATACTTTTAAGTACTCTCAAGGGGGAAAAATGCCTTTTATTTTTATAAGAGTAAAAAGATTCACCCCCCCCCAAATATTTTGCACTGAATGTACCAAAGTCAACAAGATATTACAGTATGACTGACAGCAACTCATTCACTCTTAGGAGTAAATAAGGAAGTTTCTTAGAATTCACTTTTCTTCCAATGCCTACCACTACCAAGGCTAGGCATGTAAGGAATCTTTTTTTTTATTAGACTCATATTGTGTAATCATATAATAAGCATTTATTTTAAATGCACCAGATTTTTTCCATCTATTAATTACTTTGAGATAGTGTTTAAAAGGGATGTTTTCTATTCCTTCTCGTCCCTCCACAGCTTTATATTCATATACCACTGTCCAATACTAAGCTCACTTGGGAAGCCCAGAGCATTGTGCAAGAAATCAACCCTCTGTAAGAATAACAACAGCAATTTTCCTCGTTCAGGGCCACCTCAGGAATTTAAACTGTCTATAAAGTGTTTCTAAACCTGAAACATTCTTTAAGAATTAGATATAAGAACAACTCAAGGGTTCTTATTTTAAAACATTGGAAATTCAGTATGCACTAGAGGTGATGTATTTGATTTTCAAGACAATAATGTTATAACTGGTTATTGTTCAGTTGGTTGGGTTGCATTTACTGTTGTGACCTCCAAGAAGGATGTCATTTATTCCCTGTGGACTGTATTACAATCCTGCACTGATGGCATGATCTGTTTGGTGGAGAATATCCTTAGAGAGTAAGATCTGTTTGTGTTCTGTAAACTTCCCAGAAAAACAAAACAAAACAAAACAAAACAAAAAAAAAACAAGGAAAAAAACAACCAGATTTGGACTTAGAATATTTGTTTGCACTTAATGAGCACAGTTATAGAGATCATATCTTTAATTATGCAAATAATTATGGCCTCTTTTGTATTCTGTTTTCCCACGTTATAAAGACAAAATAGTATAGCATACTTTTATGCACATGTTTTTGATCAATGTGTATGAAAATATATTCGCAAACTAGTATTTACAATGTAGTCTTTTAACAAAATATCTGATACTTCTTTAAGAACTACGCTCGATTTTCACATTTGCTATCATTTCAGTTTGTGATACTTTTACTGCTTGCCATAGTCTGTAATCCATCAGGTAAGAGATTCAAGTGAAGAGAGAAACAGCTCTTCAGTTATTTTAAAAGCAGATTACTGTATTAGGTATGTTAACTTCTCCCAAAGTATAGAATTGCTTAATGCATACAAACATTCTTAGACTATCTATTTGAAGCTTTTTTCAGAACTTGGAATTTCTGATGAGCTCCTTAGCATGTTTGCCTAATTTATTCTTCCTCATTAGAAAAGGACAGAAAACGCAGAACTATAGCTAAACAAAAACATTCAAGAACATTTCTTCAGAATGAACTAGCAAATCTTTACAAAAGCAATCCACCATTGAAAACACCCATAAGCATTTTCCCTTCTACAACATACGTGCTCTGAGAACCAGGCTTCAAAGAATTCCAGAGTGATGTTCATTTACTATATCAATGGCAGGATCCATATACGTAGTAATTCTCAATGCCAAATATCTCAGTAAATATCTCTTGGATGGAAACAGATACAAAGCTGTTTTCTAATTTCTTTTAGGTTCCCACTCCATTTCTTCACTAACAGTCCCCCAGATCCTTTAATTACTATTCATATTTGGCTACCTTTGACGTGGAATCATTTGTTAATGGTAGTCAAGTCCTGGACGGACTGTGGGCATTTACATTTGACAGTTTCAGGTGCCCCCAGCAGTAGTGCTTGATCTGTGAAGTGGGGTCTCCAGAGAAGGATGAACCTAGTTCATAGGTCTTCAGATTATCAAAATGAAATTCTAAAAGAGTCATGTAGTTTCACATGGCTTTGACTGCAGCTATAGTAGAACATGTCTTAAGTTTGAAGTATGAAAAGCTGTGTCCTGCCACTAAATGCAGATTCATTTGGACAGTATTCATTACCTTCATGGTTGGTCACAACATGGATCTCAAGTCACAGAATGTTTGGCCAGACTTTTCTGGGTTAAAATGGTCTCATATTATATCCCTTAAATGATTTTAATTCAACATTAGTCCTTATATTAAGTACTCACTACACAGAGGACAATGCTAGGGCCGGGTGATAAAAATATGAAATATGGCACATTTCCTGCCCTCAGGGTGTTTACAATTTAATAAGAGAGATGAGATGTATACAAATGACTTCACTGTGGGCCTTCCTTCCACTAGTGTAGAACACAGCTTTTCCATGTCCTAGTAGATGGTCTGTCTTCATGAGTTTCTGTGGCCAAAAAATTCGTTACCTGCTGGCCAAACTTCTGGTGATAAGCCTTTATGATTATACCTAGGCTGGTCCTCAAACAGTATACATATTATTGTCAGAGATCTATACTAAATCTTTTTAACATAAGAATATTGCTTTAGCATAAATATTTTTGCTACATATTGAAAATTATTATTGAGCCATTTAAAGGTATGTCTATAGCATAAATCCTATCCATTCCCACAGGAAGTTCATATCAATATAATGAATCAAAAATATGTGATTGCATATATGAAATGAGACTATAGAGGAATAAGATCAATTTTTGTCTGTGGTTTGTAGAGGTATGTGGCATAGTGGAAAGATTCATAGAATTTAAGTCAGAGGAGCTGGATTCAAATTCCTACTCTATCACTTACTTTTGTGACCTTGGACAAGTCATTTAACCTACCTGGGCTTCAGTTTTCTCATCTTTAAAATGAAGGGGCAGGCCTAGATGGCCCCTAAGGTTCTTTGAGACTCTAAATTATTATCCAATGGGACTCTAAATGTATTATCTTGTGAATATGTTATTCCTATAAACTCATATATTTTACAATCCATTCTAGAAAATGACAAAACCATTGCTTTAGCCAATATATTCCAACATCAGTGGATTTTACAAGTTGATTGAGTTATGCCTCTTGTCTTTTTAAACTATTTTATTAAAATAAGAAAGCCTCCTAAAAATATCTGTAAACCTACATCCATGAAGGAAAAAAAACCTCTCCAAATTTAATAGTTGCCTTTTAATTTCTTTTGGGAGAAATTCAACCTCAGCCCAATGTTTTATTTTTGTTGTCCTGCTAAAACACATCGATTCAGTGTTTATGTTCTGGCTTCAAACAACAATAACAAAAACTGACACAACTGTTACATTACATATATGTGTAATATATGTACATAACAATTCTCAATGTCATATATCTCTGTAGATATCTGTTGGATGGTACTAGAGGCACACATTTTCATTGTTATCATATGATCATTTCTTTTTAGTTAGATGAAGATACTTCCACTGAAGTCTCTGCCGATTCCTCATATTGATGTGGAAGTAGTCTTGGATTGTCAGCATAATCAAACTCTGGCAGATCCTACCAAGGTGGAAAAGCTTCAAATATGGGTCTGGTGAGAGAATACATGTATCTCCTCTAGGATCAGCTTAGTTTAAAATGGAGACAGTAATAGAAGGTTAGCCTCCTCAGTCATAGCAATTCATGAACATGGAGCATCTAAATGGCACAGTGGATAGAGTGCTAAACCTGGAATCAGGAAGACCTGAATTTATTATATGCCCACTAAGAAATGAAGGTATTGCAATTTGCATCATGGAACAGAGTATCCAAATAAGATAAGATCATGAATCCTTAAGATATTCGAGTAAAGTAATGTAGATGGAAGCTCATTTAACAGCCAATACTCACTTTGCTACAACCAAGTTATGCCAAGAGCTTCTAATACCTCTTTTCATTGGTGAGATTAGATAAAGGAAATAGGAGTTTTCAAACGTCTTACTCAAACTGTTATTACTTCTTCATAATATAATCCACCCTAAAAAGCATCTGTTAAAAATACTCTTTAATTATTTATGCTTCTTATTTTTATCCACACAAATGAAATAACAAAACAAAAGCTGCTAATGTACCTTCAGTGGTAAACAGTACTGCAATAGCACCCCTAGCCTGACAGAGGAAAAACTTTTCTTTGAGAGACAAAATGTGAAAAATGAGAAAAATTAAATGAGAAAAATTTCTCCAAAACCCATACTTCACCTCTCATAGGACAATCCTCTAGTCATATATGATGTGTTATTTCTTTTAAAGAAATATGTATGAAAAAAGTGCCGTGATAGTTTAATGCATTAGAAGTTACTACTAAAGGAGGAAACGAAATATTTTCTGCATTTTTTGTCCAAACTAATTCTACCAAGGCAAATGACCTAAGTAACAACCAAATTACAACTATTTTGTTTGTCAAATTGGCAGGTGATAATTTCATTAAAATATTTATTTTGCCTTAGATGGTTAAAAAAAAAACAACAGAAAGGATTTGGTATAATTTCCAAAAGAAATGAAAATCTTAAACCATCTTGCTATGTCTCCATAGTCTAGCTGATTTCTAGCAATATTCTAGCAGTCAATCAACAAACATTTATTAAGTACTTGTTATGTGGCAGATACTACCCTAAGCAGTGGGAATACCAACAAA